ATATATATATATATTGATTTCAGAGAGAGGAAAGGAAAGGGAGAGGGAGAGAGAGAGATAGAAACATCAATGATGAGAGTCATTGATCGAGCCCACAACCCGGGCATGTGCCCTGACCGGGAATCGAACCCCGATCGCCTGGATCCTAGGTTGATGCTCAACCGCTGAGCCACACCCGGCTGGGCCCACTACTTAGGTTTCAGGGACAGCAGGAAAGAGAAGAAAAAGAAGAGACAAGCCGAAAGAAGAACAGAAAGGAAAAAGCTATATCAAGAGAAAAGTCCAAAGGGAGGTTTAAAATACAGAGGAGACCAGCTGCTACCAGTTCCCCGATGAGACTGGCACCGCTGCACAACGGCCACTGCAGGAAACTGAGGACAACATTTGCTGTCTTAAATTAGTGAATATAACAAACATAAGGAGATAAAACAATAAACATGTTTTATATTAAAAAGGTGAAAAATTTAATCACTAATAACGTAAATGGTCTAAAAATAAACTCAGTACAATTATAGAATGGGCGGTATGTGAACTTTCCTACATTTTGTAAGAAACTAAGAGGTCTGCTGAGGAGTTTTAGACACTAGAAGACTTTCTCTTTAGACAATAACATAATCTGAGAGAGCCTCTGGGTCACATACTAGAATACCATATGCTTGAACAACCACAGAAAAATAGAGCTGGAATGATGCTCAATGATTAAGACGGAAAGTGCAAAATAAATCAGGCCTCTCATCTTACTGCAAGGGACTTTATGATTATAAAACAAAATATGCTATGTGGTTTGCCAATCATCTGGGCACTGCTATGACTCTTTTCATGGCCACAGAAAGTATTACGACAGGTTATTAAGACACTAATTTAAACTGTGAAACTGTCATTAACATTATGGATAGATGGGTCTGTGACCAGTTTCTGAAAGGACAGGGCGACCTCCCCTTAGAATACAAACCTATTCTACTGCCAGTTCTTAAAATCATTAAGATTATTAAGGTAAAGTAGAGAAAAATAAAATTTAGAATCAAACATTTTTTAAAAATTAAGACTTTCTTCCTTGTATCTGTTCCCTACTCCTTTATAAAATGGTAAAACTTATTGCCGCCGCTCTAGAAATTTAAATTAGCACACTTAAGTGCTTCAAGAAAAGGGTGGTGTAGAAATCTATTTGTGATTAAACCTTTTTATATTTCATTATTAAACACCAAAACATGTGTAAATACATTTAATTCACTATTTTCACAAGCAAAAACTGCCCTTCAAACAAGCAACAAAATTGAGAGGTGACTTGCTTTTTCTCCAAATAGTTTTCCATTTGATAGACAAATATACATACTTAATGCAGAATTTATACACAAAAGCGATAGAATTTTTAAATGACTATATCTAAGCAGTCTTTACTTTCCATTGCCTCTCACTTCACATGCTCAAATAGCTTCCCTCTTAAAAAATCTTCCCTCAACCCAACCCAAACCTATCATCTTCCAGCTACTTCTTTTCATCTCTCCTCATAGCCAACTTTCTAAACCTCCTATTTTCATGTCCTCACTTCCCACTCACCTCTAAACCCACTCCAAATTGGTTTCTACCCAATTAGTCTAACAAAAACAGCCCTTGCCAAGGTTCCCATAACTTGGATGTCACTGAAGCCAAAGGGCATGTTTTAGTCAGCACCTTACTTGTCCTTCCAGCAGCCATCAGATACTCATGTTCCTTCCTCCGTTAAGCACTCTCTGACCCTGTACTCCACTAGCCCATACTCTTCTGGTTTTTCTCCTCTCTTCTGGTCTCTACTTTTGAATCCTTAAAGGAGCATTTTTCTTAACCCGGCCACCTATTCTGGAGTTCCCAGAGCCTCAGGCCCTTTTTTCTCTTACTTTATATGTGATACCCCTTCCCTAGGCAATCTCATAGAAAATGATGACTTTGAAACCCCTCAAATCTATTATCTTCAGTTTAGACTTCTCTGTATGTCAATTTTATATATCAATTGTCTACTGACAACTCCATCTGGATATAGCAAAGCCCCTGAAAATGACTTTGTCTAAAATCAAACATATGATCTTTCTTTCCCACTCTTAGACCCCAGAGCTCACCCTCCTCATGTGGTGACTTCTGTGAATTGCTCTGTACTACTGCTTTGTTGCCTTCTGGGCTATGACTTTGCTTTCCCCTAAGAAAGGTCAACCCTGCCCAAATAAGTTAGAATTAGGGGGAAAAAGTGTTTACACTGTACTTTAGAGAATGGTTTTATTTTATATCCAGCTATATAAACCAAAATCCTAGAAGTTATCCTTGACACCCTCTTCTCTACCACCTACCATCCCTAATCCATCGCCAAGTTCCACCAATTTTACCTAAATATACTTCAGAACTATCCGCTTACATCCATCTGGAAAGATACCACCCTGGTCCTAGCTGCCATCTGGCTCTTGCCTGCTCTCCACCTTGCTGTCTGAGCTCCAGCCATGAGCCTGCTCTCAGTTACTTAAATTCTCCAAGTTCCCCCTGCCGCACTGTCCTTACACAAACTGGCCTGTGACTCCTAACCATCACTTGGATCGCAGCTTAACTGTCATTTTATTATTGACACTGCTCCTAATCCTTTAATACTCTCACAGGACCATATTCCTTTCCTTCAGAGAACAAATCTCAATGGGTACTTATTTATTCATTAGTGGGGTTATTTTACTTAACGTATGTCCCTTACACTAGATTCTACGCTTCTTAGTCACAGGTACCTTTTGCTTCCTCTCTTCACTGTATACCTGATTGCTAGGACAGGACCTGGAGCATAGTTGGTACTCAGGAAATATTAGCTAAGTAAATAAATTAATTAATGTTTGGGACTTACTACTAAATTATCCAGATAGAATGTAACAAAGATAACCTTTCATGTCTTCTTCACTATGATTCAAAATGACCAAGAGAAAATACAAACCCACACAATCTAATGTGTGTGTATGTCTACAGAATAAGAAAGTTGGATAAAATTTAACAAAATTCTGTTCCTTCCCATTTCCTTTTTCCTTCCCCTCAACCTGGAGTTAAAGCTACTACTGTACCTGTGCTTTAGAGAAGTGTCATCACTTGCCTAAGATCCCAGAACTAAAAAGTGGTGTAGCTAGGACCAATAATGTCCTGACTGCAAATACAGAATTCTTCAGGCTTTACCATAGAGAAATTCCTGACATTTGTTACATTTCAATAGAATTTTGTGATTTTGGCAGAACTTCAAGAACATTTGAAGACAAGTACTAACTTTTCATTTTATCTTTTCACATATAACTTTTCATTTTATATGTGATATAAAAAGCAATAGGGTGAATAAAGTTAGCCAATGCCAGAAATTCAGATTTTTTTTTAAGTACGACAGGAAATATTTGCTGGCCAAATGTTTTGCTTATAACATTTAGCAAAGCTGTGTTAAAAGAACTTCAAGACTATGAGGTCCTTTGAAAGCAAAAACTGGCAAAAAGCCTGATATCAGTCTCTCCTGTCTTTATTTCCTTTCTTACAAAGACTGAATTCCAAGATTGAGATGCTAGTTGGTTGCAATTACCTCACTTCCTTGTTGACCCAAAAAAATTCACCCTGCCAGGGATCACCTTTGGACTAAGAAATCATTCAAAGTCTTATGCTATCCCCGGGATGGAGTGTTGAGAGAAAAATCACAGATTCCTACCAAAGAGCACTTACACACACTTATGTTTTCCACTATTATCTATTAACATTCATTTCATATATTCCTAGTAAGGTTCCCTTTCTGTTACACATAGTTGTGACTGTCCCAAATGTATTTCATTCTTCTATGGTTTTCTACATAGACCCTCATTCTCCTTTCACCTAATAACCTTGTATCCTGTTTCAGGGAGAAAACAGATGCAAAAGTAAATTTACCCAATTTCTCTACCCTCTCCTTCCAAATGTATCTAACAATTCCAATTCACCTCTTAGCTTCGATGATATTATCATCCTACAGTTTGCTGCTATTTTCAATTTGTTTTGTGATCATCTCTTACTACTCCCCTCAACTACATGCATGAAACACACACGTGCACATGCACATTGCCCAGGATTCTATTCTGTGCGTGGTCCACTTTCTGTCATTTAGCCTACACTATCTCCTTAGGGAAATTTATCTATCCTTATGTTTCCACTGCTACTTTTATGCCACTACATTCAAAATTATGCCTCTAGCTTTAAATTTTCTTTAAGACTCTGACCCATGGCTCCCACCACTTACTAGACATGTTCCCCTTAGATATCCTACAGGAATCTCAAACATCATCTATTGAATGTTAAATTCCTTATCTTCTTTCCTATTCCAAGTTATTCTTCTTCATGAATTCTTCAATTTGATTCCAATCTAGATATCTCAGTCACTGCTGACAATTCACTATCCTATCTGCCCATCCCTAATCTGTCACCAATTATCAAATATACTTCAGAAATGTCTCTCCAGCTCATCCCTTTCTGTTCTGTTCCACAGGTCAGACCCTTCTCAGTGTGGCGTAGATTACTGTAACAGTTCTGCACAAGTTTCATCTATATCAGTCCTTTTTTTTTTTTTACAGTGCCACTTGAGTTCGTCCTTGATTAAATCACCCAAATGTTTTTAAAACAAACAAACAAACCCCTTCAATTCCTAATTCCACCAAGAATAAATCCTAAGTCCCTTACAAAGGGACTGCTGTGCTTCAGTCTAGCACCTCAGCCTCTTTTCCTGTTATTCCACTCTACATACCAACTACTCTCAAGCATCAGACACTTACTACCCAGACCTTCCAACTTCCCTTGGGCATGCTGTTACCTCTACTCAGAATCCTCTCCTCCTCTGCCAAGTCAATTCCTACTCATAATTCAAGATCTAGCTCAGATTTCAGTTCTTTTTTGAAATCCTGACATTAACTCTGTGGGGTTTGTTTAATTATAGTACTAAGCACTATAATTTTCTTACATGTGGCTCCTTCACCAAACTTGCTAAAGAGCAGAAACTGCTCATATACTCATGTTTGTTTCTTAGCTGATGGTTGCTGACACATAGCAGTAGGAGCTGAAAGACATCATCTCAATAGATACTACACCAGGAAGCATTTTCTTTATCACACACTAATTAAACAAGACCTCAATTAATTTTTTTTTTCTGTTTCTTCTCTTAGCTACTTCAGGCAAGTCAAGTTTTCAAATTCAAGGTATTATTAGAAACTATCATAGTTTGTTATATTTTTAATATGATACCAATATTGAGAAAATGCCAAAAAGGTACCTTGGTAAAGGGGTGAATTCACTAATTATTCCCTCTGCTCCAAGTGTGATACCCTGGACAATAAATGTACTTCCCATTCCTTTCCAAAGGGCCCTTGGTCCCTAAAATGAACAAAATGTATTGTTATTTCTGTTAATGTCTAAAGAAGAAACACAAAAAAAGGTCATAATAAAACCTGATATTGAATGTTTACTGACATTTCCAATGAGGCATTATTCAAAAGGATACTTTAGCAGAGAACTGCAACTAAATTAATTTCTAATATTATTTTAATATTTGTCAGGCAGCCTACATTTAGGCCAAGATGAAAATTTCAATTAATTAAATATCCCTAATATTGATTAAATACCCCTAAGATTTAATTAATTTTGGCAAAGGTGTAAATTCACTGATTACTAAATGACACCAAAAAATGTCATTATGTTACATTAGTTTTAGTATGAAAGTTAAGATAGTTTTACTAACTAAATTATAAGGAATTACTGTAGCTTTAATTATTACTATGGCCAAATGACATATATTATAAATAACTTGAATAATGAAATCTATAGACTAATTCTCACCTGAGTTTTGTTGAAGCTGTACATAATATTGATGACTGTAAATGGAGTGAGATGATAATGCCGAGCATGGTAATTAACCTGTAAAACAGATATTTCATGATTATTTTCTATTATCGCTTTGTAAGAAATAACAAGGACATGGAAGACATACAGTGGAGTCACAGCATAAACAAAAGTTCAATTCTAAAGTCAGCATAGATTACATATAAGCAAAATTACTCTTGAAAGTGCTTGAATTCACTTATTAAAAGTAAAGTACATATGGTTACATAAATATAACCCTAAAGACCAATGCACAATATACATGGTAATAAAGAATATCTAATAAGGGCTTTTTGTTTGATATTTATATTTCTTTAAACACTCGAATTACATTCGTGTGGCAAAACATTCATGCTTTTAACACAGAGGAACCACAAAGAACTCAAAGAACAGGAGATATGTGTCTCCCAATGTCTAGTATTTTTCATGTTATAAGCTATAAACAATTAGCAAATCATAAAACCAGTAAAGGGGGTCAGAACCAGTATTTATTCAGTGAAATAATTTTTAAAAAGTATCGGGATGCATCACACATTCCAAAGGTATTATTTCATAAAACATTTTTTTAAATTACACATATATGTATACGCTAGATCGCATATGTAATAGCGTCACAATTTATAAATCCTATGTGTGAAACTGACTGTTTTGGGGTATATACAACTGTTTATGCTTTTTAAATGGCTATTGGTGCTAAGCCATGAACAGGCTAATCTGTAATCATTTATGTCTTTTCTAACTCAATTTTCAAAGAAGATAAGTTATACTATAAGAGTTTTTGCCACAGTGTGGTCCACTGACTCCTGAGGCTTTTTAAGGGAATTGACAAATTCAGAATTATTTTCTTGATACTAAGACATGATTTGCCCAATAGTGCAAAAACATGATGGGTAAATTGCTAACTTCTTAACATGAATTAAGACAGTGGCACCAAACTATATTTTTGTACTAATTGCATTCTTCATCCCATTCACTCATAAAGAGGAAAAAGCCACTTTCACTTAAAAATGTCCTTGTTGAAGTAGTAAAATATATTTATTTTATAAAACCTTGACACTTGGGTATATGTCATTTTTTTAATTAATGTGTTGCATAATGAAGAAAGATGGCTGTTGTGAGGAAAAGCAATTGCCTAATGAAGCTGCAGGCTGAACCAGCTACTTTTTTCATAGAACACCATTTCTTCTAGAAAAACTGACAAGACTATAGTTATTCACACTTAGGACAGACATGTTTTTAAAAATGAACAAAGTGAGCTTATTGATAAAAAAAAAAAAAATTATAGTATTTGTTGCCAATGATATATGTGAGTATACAAGCAAGAATTAGAATCCTGGAAAACTATATCCACCATCAAGAGCTTACCCAACATTGAAACACTCCTCTGGTGAGACTGGTAGTGATTTTAATTATGGTGGATTTTTTTGATACTATATAATCAAAAGATTATATAACTTTCAGAAGACCTATATAACTCAGTAAATCAATATTTTTTAGTTAATTAATGCATTATATAACAAGATCATGCATGGGTAAAAAAATCCACTCAACATGCAGTGCAGAGCAATAGATTTTAACAAAAAGTTAATGGGTGTCGTTTCAGATTTCACACTGCAAATAACCTTTAAGAAATTACCACTACTGAATTTAGATGTAGTATCAAAAAATAATTTATCTAAAATAAAATATAAAATACTGCCACTTTCAAATACATATGTGTATAAGGCTAGACATTCTTGTTTTTTTCAAAAATAATATATTGCAACAGATTGACTGCAGAAGCAGATGTGAAAATTTGGCTGTCTTCTACTATGTCAGACATTAAAGATATTTGAAAATAAGTAAAATGTTTCTTTTTCATAAAAATGTTATGTTAATATTTAATGGATTTATTATTTTTAATGAATTGAAAAATATATATATATTAAAATTTCCCAGTTCTAATTTCTGAAATGGTAACTATTAATAGATATAACCTATATAAACAAAAGTTCTTTGGAGACCTTGATTTTTAAGACTTAAGAAGTTTCAAAGATCAAAATGTTTGAGAACTTGCCATATTACAGATTTTGGTGCATTTCACATGGAATAATGGCCACATGGTCTTGGCCATTTATCTGAGTTCTGTACTTCAAATCAGGGTTAGAATTACTGTTCAGAAGGTCATAGAAAGTACATTTACCTGACACTGGCGGCGTAGAACAATGCAAGGATGAGCCAGTACATTTTCTGTAAAGAGACTATATAAGAATAATTTATAAATACATATAATATAGCCAAAACTTAATTTATAACATGTATGTATCTGAAATTATTTTTGCTTGAAGAATCATGCATTATTTTGTTCCTCATTCTTAAAATTGAAAAAAAAAAAGATTTAAAATAATATCATGTTTGCAAATCATTGTACCAATAACAAAATTCAACATGAAAAGAATTAAAGCCAGATCTGCCAACTGGTAAGCAAGGGAAACAATATAAAATACTAATATATATAGAATAAAGATGAAACTACATTTCTATATATCTAATATGGGAAACTCCTTTCCTACACAATTTAAACGCCCCTTTCAATTTGTTTCAGATGTCTTTCAGTTCCTATCAGAAGAGCCATTTATTTTTCATGAATCTCAATCTATAAATTTTGGTTTTGATGTACTTTGTGCTTAAGTTATAGGGATTTCAATAAGCATATTAATTGACTACTATTTTATGTATAAAATAGTTCTTCTGAAAACATTCCCTACAAACTAATTACAACTGTGGCTTAAGTACTAACAGTGACATATACCTGCATGAGTGTGCACGCGCGGGCACACACACACACTCACATATATATAAATACATATAAAAATAATATATCAAATGATAATAACTTTAAGTATAAACAGTGAGCCTAAAGAAAAATTAACTACAGCAGAAGGAAAACCTCAATACATAAATTTTATTTTTATTGACATTAACATCCTCAAGTTTAATCATACAAATAAGATCATTTTTTCCTGATTAAAATGTTTAAAACATGCCCGGCTGGGCGTGGCTCAGTGGTTGAGCGTCGACCTAGGATCCAGGCAACCAGGGTTCGATTCCTGGTCAGGGCACATGCCTGGGTTGTGGGCTCGATCCCCAGTCGGGGACGTGCAGGAGGCAGCTGATCAATAACTCTCTCATCATTGATGTTTCTATCTCTCTTTCTCCCTCTCCTTTCCTCTCTCTGAAATAAAGATATATTAAAAAAAAAATGTTTAAAACAATGAGTTACTCTAGTATATGTCAGTCTCTGTGCAATTCCAATGTTTTTAAAACAGTATTCACTAAAGATCACTTAATCAAGACTAGAAGCTTTTCTAATACAAAATAATCATTAAAAATAAAAAGCAATAATGATGCTCATTAAATGCTGATTATAACCAAAACCTAGACTCTATGTTGCTAAGTATCTTGTTATAATTCAATTTTCTTAGGAAGAAGATTCAGTGTAAAATTACTCACTTTTGGAGGGGAAGAGATAAGATTTAATTCATTCTTTGGCTAGACACATGAAAGGTGTTACAACATTCCTTATAAAATTATTCTCTGATCACAAAATTCAATAACTATTTTCTAGCCTTACTGGGAAAAAAGTCAACTTATAAATTTTAAATAATAATTTTTTCTGCAAAGTATTTAATATTTAATCTACTGCTACAAAGAATCATTCTAAAGGAAACATTACTAATCATTTACTGTAACATTAAAAACTGTAAATACTTAAATTAAAAAATATTTAGATAAAACATTACCTTGCAAGTCCAATACCAAATCCAGCAAATCTACTCAACTGTTCTAAAATAGAAGAAATAAGATTACTCATAACCAATATTTAGATTTACTGTAAAAACAAAAAAATATTTTCTTTTATTAATGTGATATTCAGTTAAACTCAGGTCTCCAAGTCAAATCCTGGTAAGAGCCAAGGAAGTTATTTGAATGAGTGAAGGACTCTGTTGGGGCTTGTGCCAAATTGCAAGGCACAACTGCTCTTCAGCTCCAATTCATTGTGGCAATGGACTGTGGGCTCAGGGTTTCTAAGCTGTGATTTTTCTAAAAAGATATTCTCATTTTTATGTAGCATCTTTCAATTAAAAAAATATTGGCAACTATTTTAAGAAGTGTTAAAACATTGTGGGCCAAATCAAACATGTCTGCAGGTAGAATCTAAGGGCTACCAGTTTTCAACTTCTGACTACAAACAATATTTTCTGTAGAAGGCACTGATACACCAACAACTTAACCTCCCATGTTGTAAAATTAGTCATTCGCCGTTAGTGGTGGAGAGCATCTGTGTTAAATCAATAGTTACAAATAAAACACCACAAAATTATTAAATTGAGAATATTTAGAGTAATCAAAATGGGTAAATAGGCTCTCTTTTCTCTATCTCCCCAAATTTTAAGTATTTTGAAAGTAGTTGCTTAATTAGGTTTCTGTGGATGGACTACTGGGTACATATGTGCTACTGCTGAGGGCATTTCTATAGTCTTACTACAAGTTTACAGACGGAAACATTCCTGTGCATATATCAAAACAGAAAAAAAAAAGTTTTCTCCTTGACTAAAAATCTCAAAATCATGATGATGAAATCTCACAACCCCAGGAGACTAGTCATCAAATTTCAGCTGTAATGCAATATTCACAAGGGATGATTTTCTCTCTCATCCTATTTTCTCTTTCCCCTCTTGTTGCATCTTCCCTCTTTCATTTCTGCTCTTTTCAATGAAGCAATGCACTCACTATTTCCTTACAGTCAGAACAAGGCCATGTAAACATGTCCCTGAGAAAACTATTTGGTCATCCTTATTTTGAAAAAATGTACAAGCGAGATAGAAGCTTCTTTGCCCAAGTTAAGATTCTTTCCTCCCTTCAGCTTTCCCCTTTTTGTATGTACTGATCATCTCCAAATATTAACAGAAAATACTGTATTTCCTGGAAGGTACTGGAAGGCTTCCTATTGTTAAATGTAAGACTCTCAGGTTTCTATCCTCCTTGCAAAGTTAGACTCACTAGGCTGTTACTGCTGCTAAAAGCAAAACAAAACAAAACACAACAACCCTAGTTTCAATAAGAGCCCCTCTCCTCATTGTAACCGACAAAACATAAATTATGAAAAAATAACTTAAGTATTACTGCCTAAGAAGGTAACATGTAGCAACTATATATATGCATTTTGAATTATTTCATTTATAACTTTTCAGTCCTCCTTTTGGGACCACCAGAAAGAAAACCAGAGTAAACAAGCTAATTGTATGACACTAAATCACTGGTCCCCTCCACATCAGTTGCTCACCAGACTATATTTTATAGTACATCCAAGTCAAAATACAATGAGAATAAAACTGATGTATAAAATATACTTATATTTTATATTTAATGATAAATATACTTATATTTAATGATATAATCCACTGTTCTAACAATTTCAGAATGGGCAGAGGTAGCCGTTTTTTTCCATTTTATGAATAAACAAGATGTTGAGAATATCTAAATCACACAGTATTGCAATGAAAAGACAGGTGGTCTGACATCCTGCAGAAAATAACTATGCCTTGAATTCAAAGTATTATCTTGAAAATTTACCAGTGATTTTTGCTTGTTAGTGGAATTTTTAGGTCAGAAAAAGGAAAGTAGAAGGTAGGTATATTTCTCAATTCCATAAATCTTTACAGAGCTCCCATAGGGTGCATGAATTAATTTATATAAGTAGAAAAGTGTTACTTTAGCCCCTTAAAAATAAAAAGAATAAAATTACAACTTCTCTATGTATTCCAAGTGATTCATTTACTATGAGTGAGGCTCAGTTTGGTATTGCCATGAAGTGTTAACAGAAGAAAATGGAAAAGTATAAACATTTCCCCTTCTATCAAAAAGGCGTTTGATGCGGGGGGGTGGGGGTGGGGTATTTTGGGATCTAGAAAACAGACACATCTCCTATGATTAAAAGGGAAAAGGAAGGAAACAAATATTTTTAGCCTACACTGTGCTCCATACGCATTACTCACATCTCATTTTATTAAACCCTTAAAAAACCCTGTTATTCTTCTATCCACCTCAAAGATGAGCAAACTGAGGGTTCACAGATGTTTACAAAGTCTGTCAGCTTTTAAGAGTGATAGAGCCAGGTCTGAGCCCAAGCCTGCTTATGCTGAAAAACTCCACGCGGAACACAAAGCTACAATTAATTGCATCAAAGAAATACAGCGGTCATTTAACTAGCTAAGGCAGGTGTCTTTTTTGGAGGTGATCCCGGAGAAAATATGTGCGAGGAAGAGGGAGGAGGCCCGCTTCAAGGGCAGAGGACGCGGGGAGGGCACCGGGTGTGGCGCGCGACGAGACCAGAGGCCCCGA